TCCATTGAGATTTTGTGGATTTTGAAGGTCTTTGGATGCAGATTTCCATTGACACTTCGAGTGCGATTGTGTTGTTGGTGTTTGTTTTGCTGCTGCTTGCTGGTGTTTTGCTGGTGTTTGTTTTCACCCCCTGTCTCCTGACAGGATTTCCCACTTCTCTGGAAGATCTCGGAGCCGGTCTGCTTCTTCGAGTCTATCTTGCTCATCACCAACTTCCCGCTCTTCAAACCTCTCATCTGTATGACTTCTCGCCTGCTGCGGCCATTGCCAAATCGAAGAAGTCCTTCTTCTTCGCTTCCCAACTCTCTCTTCTTCTCTTATCTTCTATTTCTGGAAGTCCTTTGCACACTTCGCTCATATCGTCAAAGGTCTGACTTCCTTGCCACTTGTCTTCCAACTCTTGGAGCTCCTCCAAGTTGACTTCGGCATTCTCTTCAAATGTTGAGCCTCTCATATTCGTGGCTGCCAGCAACAAGCATCTTCTTCGCCACGAAACAAAGTACTTTTCATGTGACTCCTTCACTATGACCATTGCCGGCCCTCGCCATTCTCCTGGATCATGGCGGTACCTCCCTTTCCTCACGCGAGATCGTCTCACCAGGCAAAAACTCTCGAATCTGGCCACCAGGTTTTCGACTCAGAGCTCCGATGAGCTTCCCTTGAGCTTCTTGATCTAGTAGCGAACGTTTTGCCAATGCTCTCATTTCAGCGTGGCGTGCCACTTCTGTCTCTGTGCTGAGTGCCTGACCGAGAGTTGTGGCAGACACGAGATCATGATCAAGAAGATCAGGCAAAAGATTCTGCCGTTCAACAACAAGAGTGTGTGCACAGTAGCCTCTACGAGTGACTACCTGGTTCTTTTCTTGAACTGCACAGGCCAATGTCACCTTCATTCCTTCACGATCAATCACCTCATGTTCGAAGATCAGAGCTCCCCAGGCTGTGCCTAAAAGGGCACCATGGCGTTCAGCATGCCCAAGCTGCCATGCAGCATGGGAACCGGTGAACTTGGTTCCAATGGCATGTTGTTCAAGGAGAAGACTGAACTCTGCCTCCCACTCGCCTCCTTGGTCGAGTTGATTGGGAACACCAAACATCCCAATCCATTTCACCAAAAACTTCTTTGCGACGTGGGGAGGATTGCGGCTTCTCAAGAGAGTGGCTTGGTGGTACTTCGTGGCCAGATCAATTATACTGGCCACATACTTCTGGTCTTTGCAGTCCTTCACAAATTTGAGGTCAATCAATGGCCACAGTGTCATTGAACACAGTGGGCCTCAAATCACTTCTTCGACTCATTGGTCTTCGTGGAATCGGTGCTGAGCCACACGTGCACACGTGTCATTTCAGCATTGCAGCTTCATCAACCAACCATTTGTCGGCACCTACTAACCTCAGTATCCTCGACAAAACTTCATTCGAGGGGTGGCCAAGGCGTCTATGAAGCATTTGCAGCTGATCATTCTTCCTTAGCTTCACTTCTTCCTCCTTTGCTGGCTCTTCAGGCCCTTGGTCCTCCATCATTTCATCGTCTTGTACTTCAAATCTTTCTTCTGGGAGCTCTTCTTCTTGCACATAAACTTCCTGTTTCCTGCCTCGCAGGTATTTTTCTGCTCCTTGGATGACTCTTTCTGGGAATTTCTTGGTGTATCCTCCTGCAAAGTCAGAGAGGGCCTTCCATCTTCTACCAATTTGCACTCCACCCAGAACTGGTGTGTGCTGATGCCGACCTTGGCACTTGGCATCACATCGGTCAAGAATCTCCTCGGTTCCTTTCAAACGAGTTCTTTTCCTCAGGAGCAAAGGCTGGCCTTCGCGAATATGTTCCTGTGGTTTCTTCAGGCCATAGCCAATAGCAGCATGTGTCCATGACCACCTCCGGCATTCCTTCGAAAGCTTCAACGATTGCTGATTCCTAAGATTTCCGGGATGTGGCTGGGTTTCTCCCAGAAGGGCACCGCCTCGCTTCCTTTTGAAAAGCTTTCGAGCTCTTTGCCTGCTCATGCCTAAATGCCTCTAAGCTTCAGCATCTTGTGACCATATTCATTGAGTATCGACCACTCTGTGCATGGCCAAGCGATCACCAGTAGGTTTGGATCTGCCTTCGCGAGGTACTGGTGGGCTTCAGCTTGGTGGTCATCTCGTTGAAGGTCCCAGGAAGGAAGACTGATGGGTTCCCACATCTCCCATCGGCCTGTCTGGACTGCACACATCGAGATCATGCAGGTCCAAGTGAACAGTTCAATGACCCTCCATGGTCCCCTTTTGCTTCTCCAGCGACCTGGAAGACTTTCAGTCACCTTTTTCGACTTGCGATCCTTCTCCTTGAGAACTTGAATTTCCTTCAACTCACGCATGTTGTGGCGAACTTGGCTCCTTTGGTGTTTGCTCAAATAACGAACAGCCCCTTTTTCCACAAACACTGCCTTCACTTCTTCTTCTTCTTCTTCTTCTTCTTGTTCTTGTTCTTGTTCTTCTTCTTTTTCTTCTTCCGACTCTTCATCATTGACCACCACACCAAATTCATGAAAAAGGTCTCTGATTCTTGCTCACTTTGAGGTTCTTCGATCATCTCCCGTTCGCTGCTGCCTTGCGACTCATCATCTCCTTGGCGTTCTTGAAGGGGGATGTACTTCAAATCCTCCTCCAGCCTAGTCAATGCCTGAATCAATCTTCGATCATTTTTCTGTTCTTCTGCCTCCGTCTCTTCTTCTGAACTCTCAGGCCTTGAATCTTCATCATCTTCTTCGCTGCTTGCTTCAGCGAGATCTTCTGCCTTGAACACCCATGAGTGGGGCGCTCGTTGTAGAAGCTTACATGTGTCTTGGATCTCCGTGGCATCCCAAAAGGAAGTTGTTCTCCAAAGTCAAGCAAACAAATAGCTGGGTGTTGCGTTTCGTTCAGGATCATTTGCTTCCAGCTTCCTTTGATTTGCAATCTCTTGGTTGCAAAGTCTATCACAAAGCCCCAGCGAGCCATCTCTGAGGGGCCCACAAGCCCTGGACAGTTCGCGGCTCCACCTCCGACACAAGACATTCGAATCAAGTCATCCTTGCCATGCAGTCCAACCAGGTAAATGTAGGCCATAGTGCTTTCTTCTGGCCCCGGAGCCGAACTGGAACCTCTTTTTTTCAGATTCTTCCAACCACGTCAGGCCTAAAGAACGCAGCTGCTGTTGGAAACTCTCATGCCATTGCCTTCCAGCCACTGCCGTCCTACAACCTGAATCCATGATGGCTATGCCAGGCGTCAGGGTCAGGAAAACATCACTTGTTGGCTCAGGTGCTGATGGCACTGGATGTTGTACAATCCAAGCACCGTGACGCTCAGAGAAATAAATCACATGCTTGAGACCACACTCCTTGCATGTGGCTGACTTCTTCCATGTAGTTGCCATGATGCAACTCCGTCTTTGGCATTCCCATCTTAAGTGTTATGGGCGCCTGATAGCCTCCTG